TAATATTTTACAAAGACCAAAAATTGAAATTCATAATTAATAAATTTCAAATAATTTCAAAAAAGAATTTAAAAATGTTAAAACCAAAAAATTTCAAACAATCAAAACCCCATTGCAAAAAATTAATGAAATTTTAAGAAATGAACAAAAACAGAAGAGGAATTCAATCAACTTCAATGATGCTTGAAGTACGCTTAAAATGCTTCAATGATGCTTAAAATTGGTAGAATAATGCTGCCGTTAGAATATACCATTATACCCAAGCAGATGCATATAAAGGTGTGAAATGTATATTTTACAAGTTCCATACTGTCCAAGCATGACTCAAACTCCTTTCTGGCTTTCATTTCAAAGATATCGGTCATTTTCTACACAAAGTAAACTATGCGTTTTGGAAAGATCGAGAAGTAACAACCTGTCCTATCAATAAAATTTCTGTTCTGTCATGCACGTGGGTGTGAATTTGATTTCTATTGGCGCCTCTCTTAATAAATAAACCTTGAAATCCATTAATGAAAGAAGTTATTGTCATCGTAATTAAACATATGATCACGTATGATCAATTATATAGTTAATTACTTAGAAAATATAATCCTATATTCAATACAATCAAATATTCAATTAAGAATTATAAAGAAAAATATTTCCGGAGCATATAAGATTATGTCATCCTCCTCAAATCCGCATCATGAAAAATCGTCATTGCCAGTAACAAAAACGAAACTTTGAAAAATATGCTGCGTAATTCAATACAGGAAATGTGCCTTTTTCCCATGGTCACGTAATTCTAGAAAGCTCCAGTGACGTCATAGGTCATACCCCTTTTCTGTTAAGTCTCTTCCGCCGCACGAGTTTCTCAGCTTACTACTGACGTTGACATTTATATACGCAATTTTATTTCCAAATTTTTTGTGCTCATTATATTTCGTATGCTGGGGTAAGCTACGTTTTAGTTGGGCACCCGATTACAACAATCATGCATCATATTTCAACGAAAATATCCATTTTGACCGCTGTCGAATGCAATTTAACGATGTTTTTGCGTGATATCTGTACGTAAGGACAGAATAAATACTCTTTTCCTTCAAAAAAGTTATAAAACTGCTTTAAAATTAATTCTGAAGAGAATTTTTCGTGGCGTCTCTACGAACGTATGTACGTACGTATCTCGCATAACTCAAAAAAGAGTAGCCTCAGAACGTTGAAATTTTGTATATAAGACTGCTATAACACGTAGATGTGCACCTCGTATTTTGGTTGCAATCGGCCGCACCAAACGTATATAAATATATTTCTATATATATCCACTCTGTTACCCGGCTCGGTGATCTCAGTTTCTTTACTCTTATATGTTTGTAAATTGTACATTTTTTGCTTTAGAAATGATTGTATTATGTTGTTTTTATCTTCCGGTTAAGGTTTTTATGCCTTTAGTAAATCTGTATGCAATATTTTTGGAATTATCAACAATTTTAAAGTTGTCTAAGTGCCGCTAAGCCTTTTTTTAATGACGGCCATTGATGTTTACATTTGAAACAGGAGACTAGTGGATTTGTTGCCAATCTAGAGAAACTTAGCTTCCCTACAACAAAGAAAACGCATTCATTTATTATTGCCAATTAAATCATGCTTAATTCTTTCTGGAATTTTTTCGAGGAAATAAGTGTTTGAGATTTACTTCGTAATTTTTAATATAGATATTTTGAGTTATTATATGTTTTTGCCCTCTCGCAAAGTGAGAACTGAATTAATTAAATGAGAAATACACAATCGTCTTTGAAAAACTGTTTCTTTTTTGTTTTGTTTGCTTAATTTCTTTTATACATCTTTCCAGCTTTATTATAGTATTTGAATAGAATATGTGGCAACGATTAGATAATTCTATTCTTTAAATGATATAAATCTTGTGCATTATGGGTTATAATATTAACGAAATATATAAGTTAACTGTTATATAATTATTGGATTATATAACAGTTAACTTAGTTTCCGTTATGTAATTATTATATAAGTTAACTGCTATATAATTATTAATACTGTTAAGTGAATCTAGCGCCAGAGTGTCGCTATGGTAAACAAATACTAGAGTGAATTTTAAAGAATGCATTTAGTCTATTGTGGTTTAGCGCTGTCTACAAAGTAGATTTAATTCAATCCAATAAGTTTAAATGAAATGCAAGAAAAAATGCGTATAATTTAATATTCCGTACAAGGAAGTCATGTGGTGTACACATCAGATTTTTTTTTTAAAAAACTAAATTAAAAATCATAGAATTTCTTTGAGATGAATAAGTTGTTAACAGTTATCTCTCATAGAATTTGATAATTCTGAAATTGCTTAATAATTATTATTTAAATGGTTTTCCTTGTAGATAATTTTCTACGTTTCTAAAAGTTCAAGAAATTTTATGCTATCTTATAAGCATTTATTTGCATTCTTTATCTTTTCATAGCTTTTGAAAACAAGTTTGCGAAGCAAATGCAATGTATTGTAAATCTACTTGTAAATCAATCTACTTGTAAATATCCATTGGATGGATTTAATCTAAAGGTCAATGCATAACCATGATTGTACTATTAACCGGGTTGATTTTTGTGAATAATCATGTAGTTTAGTAGCAGTGATTTTCCAAGGGGAAGGCGGGGACGGGAGGAGCCCTGATCACTGTAAAACCTAAAGTAAAGTTCTTAAGTACGCATGTGTAGATTTGTGTAGGAACATAAAAATGGACGATGTTAAGAGACGGGTTGCATTGAAAATGTTTAAATTTATTGGGGAAACGGACTTCCAAGAATCAGTCCTCAATTTGCATTTACCACTAAAGACTTTTTGATTGTGTGCGTTTCATGTCCTTCTTGGGAGAGAAACATTTCAAAGCTTAACTTAATTAAACATCTATCTTCGATCAACAGTGAGCCGTGTAAGACTTAACGGTTTGGCAATTCTTTCCAGTAAAAATGCAGTAGCTGAAAACATTAATTTTGGTGAGAGCATAAAAAAAAAAAAAAAAAAAAAAAAATTCAGATGCCAAAGGTTGCAAGTAAATAGTTTAAGCTTTTTACATTGACAGAAGGCGTAAGGAAACTTCTTTAAATATAAAAAATTGCAGATTAATAAGGTTTTTGAAATATATGTATTTTCCTTTGCTAGATGAAAGATGCTTTCTACTTCCTTGTATGAAATAAAGGAAGTACTGTAATCCTGAAAAATTTCGGGTATAATATTCCAACGAAAATATCCACTTTGACCGCTCTCGAATCCATTTGAACGATGTTTTCGCATGACATCTATCCATACATCTCTACGTATGGACAGAATAAATGACTCCCCCCCGAAACGGACAATAAAATGATTTGAAAGGCATTCAGAAGAGATTTTTCTTGACATCTGTGCGTATGTATGTATCTTGCATAACTCAAAAATGAATATCCGTATAACGTTGAAATTTTGGTTGTTTGCGACATGTAGTTATGCAGCCCCTTTTTCGTCGCTATCGTCCGCACCAAACGTATACATATCTTGGCACTTTGTTACCCGACTTAGTGTTTTAATTCTTATATGTTAATATGCCCATTTTTTGCTGTGAAAGTGATTCAATTATGTTTTTCTTATGTTCCGATTAAGGTTTTTATATCTTGTGATGCTTTGATGCTTAGTCGGTATACTGGCCTGCAGCAGGTAATAGTGATCCCTACGCTTGCCAGTTATTGAAAGAATCCCATTAGGGCTTGACTTGTGATACAACCGTAAAGAATATTCTCCAAAAGAGATAAGTACCTGACGGTATGCCTTCTGTTAATCGTCATGCAATATTTATAGAGTTATCAACAATTTAAAATTTCAAGTGGACTTAAGCCTAACGAGGCCGCCATTTGTTTGCATTTGAAACTCCGAGTAAAATAGTGAATTAAGTCTGTTGGTGCACCAATTTCAATGACTCTTTGCCCAGTGTGACCAAAAGTTAACTTACTTAATTTAGCGCATCGAAATTTTCCTTCTTCTCCGCTAGCCGAATTGCTTGTTTTTGCGTAGGAACTTTAATTTTAACTGTAAATACTTTTTGAAATGTTTTTATCTGTATCTGATGTTTTAGTTTTTTTGTATTTTATAATTTTTAATGAAGCTAAAGTTTTTATGCATTTTCGCCTTGCTGCGAAGGGAGAATTGAATGGATAGAATTAAAAATATATTTCTAATGAAATTCGGGGAAATATGTTTAAATGAAGTGCAGTAAAAACATGTTTAATTTAATAGGCCGTACAAGGAAGTCATCTCTTGTTCACATCAGATATATTCTTCAGTCTTCCGAATCATTTTAACTGTTTAATTAAATAAATGTTAATTGCATATTGTGTTGTCACTTTGTATGCAGACAATAAATAGGACCCCAGAGAGATATCCGCCCGTGTCCTTGATAGCTGTACGCCCGTGGTTTGCAGCTAGTTTACTCAGAATAATATTGCCACCAGTGGGGAGTAAATAAGACCCACTGAACGTTTTGTTAGCTCGTCTGTATTCATTTCCCGCCGAAAGCGCAACCGTTCCAAAGAATAGGTATTAGTTGCTTGGTTGATTTCCTATATTTTCCTATGTGTGGCATGAGTACGACCTAGATTCCATTAGAAATTATTCCAGAGGGCCGTTCTAGCTGACACAGACAGCCCTTATATGTTTTACCGTATTCCGTTAAACATAACAACTATTGTTAGATAATCATCTATTTAATTAGATAGTAGCATAATAAAGAGTATTTCTTTTATTAATCTATTATTATCATTTTACTTTCACAGAGCGAATAATAAGCGAATTTCGAAAACCACTTAAAATCTAATTTTAATACAACAGCGCAACGTTGCAGCAAGCTTTTTGCAATTATTTAGCTTCCCTCATATCACACATTTTTAAAACGTCCGTTGCAGTAAAAATCGGTTTATAGCTCAGCCAAAACCGAAATAACATATCAAAAGGGCGAATCGTTGAGATTAGTAAATAGTTTGTGACGTCGCCAAGGAGAATGGGCAGTTGTGTCAACATTAAGAACGGAGATAATTTTTAAGGTTCGAGAACGATTCAAACTGCAAAGATGTCTTGCGAAAAGAGCTCTGTTATATTAGATGAAAAGACTCCTTTTCATAATGAATACCCGAAAAAGAAAGGTAAATTTACCTACTTTTATATGCTTGAAAATTTTTAAAGAATATTTATCAGTTTGAAATTATCAGATTTATTTTATGAACAAAATATTTTTTCTTCCTGAAGAAAAGGGATTTACATCAGATTCCCTCGAAATGCTTTCCAAAGTTAAGGCGGCGTGCTTCTCTGCCTTTATTGAAATAATTACTGTTCTCGAGTAAAAATCATTATGAATTTGAAAGAAAAATCAATATAAATCTGTTAATATTTACTAACTTTTCAAATTCAACAGTAATATATATATACATAATATTCACTTGACAGTAATATACATATAATATTCAGTTAACAGTTATATAAACATTGAGTAATTTAAAAATGATTATTCTGATTTTCCTTCTATGACTTTTAAATTCTAATTTAATTACTGATGATGGTTTAGTTAAACTTAATTTATTCTTAAATGTCATTTCTATTATCGATTATTTAATGATCAGATAAAATAAAAACTCAAATTAAAAATTTCAGAGAAATATTCTCTAACTATCCCGAAATTATGTATTAGATGAAAAAAAAAAAATCTTTCACTACAATGTAAAACATCACAGAAAATATCTGTTATCTACGCATTTTAAAAGTGGATGTAGAAATATGTAAGAAATTAATTTCTATTGAAAATCTAAAAAATCTGATGTGTACACCACATGACTTCCTTGTACGGAATATTAAATTATATGCATTTTTTTCTTGCATTTCATTTAAACTTATTGGATTGAATTAAATCTACTTCGCTGACAGCGCATAAACCACAATAGAATAAATGCATTCTTTAAAATTCACTCTAGTATTTGTTTACCATAGTGCTAGATTCTGACGCTAGATTTACTCTAGCGCTAGATTCACTTAACAGTATTATATTTCGTTCATATTATAACTCATAATGTACAAAATTTATATCATTTAAAGAATAGAATTTTCTAATCGTTGCCACATGTTCTATTCAAATATTATAATAAAGCCAGAATGATGTATAAAAGAAATTAAGCAAACAAAACAAAAAAGAAACAGTTTTTCACAGACGATAGAGTATTTCTCATTCAATTAATTCAGTTCTCACTTCGCGACAAGGCAAAAATACATAAAAACTCAAAATATCTATACTAAAAATTACGAAGTAAATCTTAAACACTTATTTCCTCGAAAAATTCCAGAAAGGATTAAGCATGATTTAATTGGCAATAATAAATGAAGGCAACAATAATCATTGTTATTGCGAAGCTAAGTTTCTCTACATTGGCAACAAATCCACTAGTCTGCTGTTTCAAATGTAAACAATCAATGGCCGCCATAAAAAAAAGGCTTAGCGGCACTTTAAAAATTTTTTAAATTGGTGATAATTCTAAAAATATTGCATACAGATTTACTAAAGGCATAAAAACCGTAACCGGAAGATAAAAACAACATAATTCAATCATTTTTAAAGCAAAAAATGTACAATTTACAAACATATACGAGTAAAGAAACTGAGATTACTGAGCCGGTAACAGAGTGGATATATATATTAAATATATTTATATACGTTTGGTGCGGCCGATTGCAACCAAAATACGAGGTGCACATCTACGTGTTATAGCAGTCCTATGTACAAAATTTCAACGTTCTGAGGCTACTCTTTTTTGAGTTATGCGAGATACGTACGTACATACGTTCATAGAGACGCCACGAAAAATTCTCTTCAGAATTAATTTTAAAGCAGTTTTATAATTTTTTTGAAGGAAAAGAGTATTTTATTCTGTCCTTACGTACAGATATCACGCAAAAACATCGTTAAATTGCATTCGATAGCGGTCAAAATGGATATTTTCGTTGAAATATGCTGCCTGAAACTTTTCGCGATTACAATACTTCCTTTTTACTTCGTACAAGGAAGTAAAAAGAAGCTGACTCAAAGAGTGTTGAATTGATAAAATACCATAATCAGTTATTTTATTATTATTCTGTTCCATTCTGTTATTTTTTCGTAATTAGTTTATGAGACTGGAGATTTAATAATTGTGTGATTTTAAAGATAGATAATTAATTTTCATCAATGTAAATTTTGAGAAGTCTGTTTAAATTTATATCTAATTGCGTTTATGAGAAAATGTAAAATGATTGTAAGTGTATAAGTTATTTCTGACACATTCAAATCACGAATTCCACTGCGTTTTTTCCAATTTATCTTGAAAAACATTCAAGCAATTTAATTTGCAACCGTAAGAGACATCGGAATGAAAGAAGTAAAGTATTTTGATGTAAATTTCAATCATACTTATGATTATGCCTTGAATATGGTAATTTGACTTATTTATATGGAAACGATTAAGAGGTATAATTCTATGGGTTTTAACAGCAAATTACTACCCTATACTCAGATTTCTTTTTAGAATACCCTTTAAAAATTTACTTTGATTTAATAATCCAAAGAGGCTTTGTCCCCAAGGAACTATTGTCTTCGTTTTGCAATTTTACGACGAATCACTCTGAATGTCCGTTTCACTTTTCAAACTGTTGCCACCAAATGTTGTCCCCCTGTATTATGTTTGAAGAAATTAAATAATGAAGAATCTGCATAAATGTAGGTATGTTCCTTGCACTGTGATAAAAACTACGGTACTTAGCGCCATCAAATTTTGAATGATGAATGACGTAATCCTCCTGTGAATATGGGCGTTTGGAAGCCCAAATTTGAAATTTATTTTATTACCGATTTCATATTTTGTAAAACTTTAACAAATTTTTAATTAACAAACTCAAGGATTTCAAAGCGAGCAATGGCAACGTTGTACAGAAAAAACATTTTTATCTCCAGCGCGTGAGATTGTGTATCGGAAATTCTAAAGATATGCTCACTTTAAAATTATTTTGCGGTATTGCTGTTGAACTGAATTTTATGGTTTAAGTGCTAAGAACAAGATATTTAATAAATAAAGGTAACACACAAAATGTTTAAAAAAAAAAAGCTCCTTTGGACGTAGTTTAAAATCTGAAACCTTTCAGATTTAAAATTCGAAACTCTAACTTGTTACCTTATATCATGAGCAAGGCCTAATTTTTACCCAAATCTGAAGGCTAGGGAGAGGGTTTCAAGTAAGTGGGTAATTCCAAAATAATCCTGTAAGTTCTCGTAGGCTTCTCTCTTATGAAAACAAGTAAAGCGAGCACTGTGAAAATGGGAACAAAATGCTTTGATGCTTAAATCTTTAGATAGTATATTTAATTTTTTAGATATTAATAGGGCTTTATATTAATCTATTATTTATAATTATTATCTTTAGATAGTCTTAATAGGGTCTTAATAGGGAGCATAAGAATATTCTCTTCAATCGGCAGAAATCATCATATTATAAAGCGAACAAGAAACAACTCCTTCCCCCGGACAAAAAAAAAAAAAAAAAAAAAAAAAAAAAAAAAAACCCTTCAGTGATTCTTAAATTACACCTGAGTCTGGCACTATAGTTAGCATAATATTAATAACATCCTTCTGCGAATAATAACGCTTCATGCGCAATCTAGCAGATAATTTGTCACAATAACATGGCTTTCTTTTCAATTCCATCTGTCAATAAAATTCCATCTGTTGTCAACACGAATTTCCACTAGTACGTTTGAATTTTCTTTATTTTCACAAACAGTATGTCATAACCACAGACAGAAGCTGAAATCAGTCGTTACAAGCTCACATTACAGGATATTTCAAAATATTGCTGGACTAAATACATGTTGAATGACTGGTCATAAGACTGAAAGAAATTCATCAAATATGATGGTTTTTCATGCAGACGATGGGATGTATGAAATGATACACTGACTACCAATAAGTATTTGGACACCTGTGATAGAAAAGAAAAACTAACTTGATTCAAAATCAATAGTTGATAGAGCCTCCACGAGAGGTAATTACAGCGTGGACCCTCCGGGGCATACTATCCACAAGTGTTTGTATGACAGCTATGGTTTTTATTCCACTCGGCGTGAAGACGACATAGAAGTTCCTTCACTGATTTTGCACGGTAGTGCACTCCTGAATTCGGTGATGCCACTCTCGTCCCAAGGTTCTCGATAGGGTTCAGGTCTGGACTCTGGGCAGACCAGTCCATTCGATGAACTCCATTGGCACCATACCAAGCCTTGGTTAACGTCGAAACAAGACAACTGGCATTGTCGTTACTGAGTCCAACCTGTAAAACTGCCACAATGTAGGAAGCATATTGTCATCCAAAATAGTGCAGTAGGCATCAGAGTTGAGCTTACCATGAATGGGGACCAAGGATCCCAGCCCATACCAGGAGCAACACCCCCAGATCATAATTCCACCTCCGTCGAACTTGACTGTTGGCACAATGCATTCTGGCAGGAGACGTTCTCCAGGTAGACGCCAGACCCAGACCCTGCCATTCGAACGGTAAAGGGTGAACCTTGATTCGTCATTCCAAAGAACCCGTTTCCACTGATCTACGGTCCAATTTCGATGTGCTTTGCACCACATTAACCGAGCAGCGCGGTTGGACTTTGTGATCAAAGGCTTATGGGCAACAGCACGACCATGAAAACCAAGCAGATGTGCTTCCTTATGGATGGTATTCATTGAAACAATACTCCTGGATGCCTGTTGAAACTCCTCGCGGATGAGGGCCATCGGTTGGGTGCGGTTCTTTCGAATTTCTCTGGACAGCAGTCGTCGGTCTCTATCTCCCAGTTTCGTTGGTCTGCCGACTCGGGGTACTTTCCGACAATCACCCCTCATCTTCCACTTCTTAATCACATAGGCCACTGTCGATTTTGGGTACTTCAGATCGCTAGATATGTCCCTTAAGGATCGGCCACATTTGTGCTACCCGATAATTATACTTTTCTCGAAATCAGAGAGCTCCAAACTGCGAGGCATCTTGCATGAGACTAAAGCCGATGCTGTTTCCTACACGATATATACCGGCGGAGTCCGTGACGTACCTTAGGACCGCAGATATTGTCACTTGCATAG